TTCCCCCAGGAGATGGCTGCAGTGCCCTGCGAGCAGCCAGGCCACGGCTCCCTCCCCCTCTTTTCTCCCTTCCTCAGGCAGTGGCTCCTGGCTACTCAGGCCTTCCTAGCACAGGCACTGGCGCCTGCACTGCCACCTGGCCATGGAGTTCCCCACTACACCCCTGCCCCTTTCCCCTGCTGGAGAACAGGCAACCTTCCCCCACACCTGCCCTGTCGCAGATACAGCCCCCACTCCTCCTGCCCTGACCAAATGTCTGGGATTTTGCTGTGCTCCAGGACTGGGGGAGGCGATCAGAGCCAGCAGGGAGCACCACATGGTCTGTGCGCCTCTGCAGCTGCAGGCAGGTCCAGGTCCACGTGTGCTCCCTGCTGCCTCCAATCACCCTCCCCCTGCTCCCACCAGCAGAGCAAAGGCAAATCCTGGACAACCTGCCTGGATGGCAATCAGAGGGCTTAAAAAGAGCAGGAACACATACGGGGAAACCCAGATGTATGGTAACCCTATCTTGGCGGCACATGCACACTTGAGCAAAAGCGTTATGGACAGACAGACAGACAAAGCCCTTTATTATATTAGATTTATTTAAAATATTTGTATCCTGCTTTTCTGCTTGCACTAAGCACCTAAAGTGGCTTAGGCTTAACAATATCTTTTTTAAAAATTACATAATAGATAAATAGTTAACTATTTCAATCCAGCAGAGCAAGCTTAGTCCTCAGGACAATGGCAGAGGCCAGACTATACTTCCCTTTGGCTCTGCAGTCCCAGGGCAACTGAGCAGCAGAGTATTCTTTCTGGCAGGGAGTGGGGAAGCAAGCTCCCTGCCGCTTTTCCTTCTCATGGAGGAGGCCAGACTAGACTAGACTAAAATAAAAATCTTTTCCCCCTTTTGTTGCAGGAACTTGGTAGCTCAAGTGAAATAGCAGATTTACAAAAAATGGAAAATGAAAATGTTGAGCTGCCAGGTCTGGGGGAAGAAGAAGCAGGATTCTTGATTTCAAGATCACTGTCACCAGATATGAGATCCACCATGAGTAGCTGTTCAAGACAGTCAAGCTTATTATCAAGCTTTGTGGACAAAATGTCAAAAGCAGATCAAGAAAAAGCAGATGAGACATTAGCTCGAGCTATATTTCAAGTACACCTCTTTCCATAACTGAAAATCAAGACTGGAAGGAACGTTACAAACTAATTCACCCATCATATAAGTTACCATCACTTACTGCTTATCACATTCTCTCTTAGATAGAGAGTATGACAGAGTTCAAACAATGGTTATTCAAAGGATTGGTCAAGCAGAATCACTGACTGATGTCAGATGGATGAACTGATATACAAGGAAATCCTTTATTAAACATTGTTAGCAACACCTGAACCAATATTCCTGAAAGCAACTGTGATGAGTGAAGAGATTGGAAGTGCAGGTCCCTCCAGGGTACAAGCCCTTGTAACTGACCATGCGAGTAACATGAAAGCTGCATGGCAAGTATTAAAGGCAAAGTATCCTCATTTACTAGTATTTGGCTGTCTTGCTCATGGGCTGAATCTTCTGGCAAAGGACATAGTAAGTGTGAATACAATGAAGACAATATTGGCAAACTACAAAGTGATTGTGAAGGTATTCAACAATCATCATGTTGCTAATCAGACTGTAAAGAAATTACAGAAAGAGAAGCAGGGGAAGGAAAGTGCACTTTTATTGCCACGAGAAACTAGATGGGGCTCGGCTACAAAGTGTTTACATAGTTTGCTGCACACAAAGAACTGTTTGCAGTGTGCTTCAAGAGATGACGCAGTAGCCCAGATTATTCCCATGAACATAGGGAAGCAATCTCAACAATGATGCATTCTAGGTTCGAGTTCAAGAACCATTCAATTTGCTACTACCAGTTTCAGTGGCTATCAAGAAACTTAAGGGAGATGCACCAAGACTTTCAAATATTCCAGAGATATTCAGACAACTGAATGAAAATCTAATTGAGCTTTTGCCTTCTTCACCTCTATCCAAAAAAGGAGGAGGAGTAAAACAAATGTTTACTAAGAGATCTGCATTTTGCTCTCATCCAGTTCGTCTGGTAGCAAACCTTTTGGATCCTCAATACAAAGGACATTTATCAGAAGATGAATTATCTACTGCTCTCAATACAATTATGGAAGTAGCTAAGAATGTCCCCAACATTGACGAAATAGCCGTGATGACAGACATTGCCAAGTACCTACCGCACAAAAGAAAAACTTTGGAGCCAAGACATAATTTGGCGGGCAGCAGAGAATATGTCTCCTCTCCCATGGTGGAAGGGATACTGTAACACCTGACTGTTGTCCAGGAGTGCTCTAAGGATCCTAAGCATTCCACCAACAGCAGCTTCCTGCGAACGGAACTAGAAGGCTTTCAGCTCAATCAAGACAAAAGGAGGAATAGACTAGCAAATGAACACACTGCTAAGCTTGTTTCTATTTCTCAAAATCTCTTGCTTCACAATTAGTGAAGAAGATTCAGTGTGATGATAAGTTGCCCTTCCCCATAGACTCATTGGTAACACCATCCTTTAGTGAAAGAGAATGTGGTTCAAGTGGTTCTGAATCAGATCTGCCTCAATCTGATTCTGAAACGGCACTAGTAAGTAGTGCAAGTGATTCTACAGATAGTGACAGTGAAACTGGAGGTGCCTCAATGACCTCAGTGGAAGATAGTTCAACTCTGCTGAAGTAGATGAGTGGGCAACCACAGCATATCATGCACAGTTCTTTGGGTGTGCTAAAATTAGTGTCAACAGTTTTCCGTGCTTTCATTTTTTTTCTTAAATTTAAACAAACAATGTAGGGGAAGTACAGGTTATTGTGTATTGTTTTTACATTTTTACAAGTATTCTAATAAAATAATTGTTTTCATATAAAGCTTTGAATTTGTTTTAATATAGCATTTAAACCACATTAAGTGTGCTGTATTTAATTTTTTTCCCAATCAAATATTTCAGTTCAAATACTTGTGGCTATTGGGACACAAAATTAACATGGGGGTACTTTTTTAGTTTTGTTTACTAAATGTAAGTCAAATAAACATGCTAAATCAGATCACACTCTATTTGGGGCATTGGAAAAAATTCCAATTCAAAATTTTCTGGAAAACCCACATCTCTGAATCTAATAGCCACCATCACCTCTGTCTTGTCTGGATTCAATTTCACTTGGTTCACCCATATCCAATGTACAACTGCAGCCAGGCACTAGAAAAGGACTGAGGCTGCAAGGCCTGGGTCAGATGGGTATCATCAGCATATGGATGATACCTCACTCCAAATATCTCTGTACCATCTCTCACAGTGGCCTCATATACACATGGAACAAGAGGTATGACAAGATGGACCCCCTAGGGACCTCATGGGAAGGATTCTGCAGGGCATGACATACATTTGCCCATCACCACCCTCTGGGATTCCCCTGCTAGGGAAGAGCAGAACCCATTTAGAGTAATCCTGCAAATTCCCAGGAGGTCATGTAAACCCTTTACCAGAACCCTCTAACTCATGGTCAACTGTATCAAAAGTACAATTTTCCCTGTCAATCTCAAAGCCAAGATCATTAACCAAGGCCATGAAGTCAGTCTCCACACTGTACTCAAGATGAAACCCAGACTCTTGAGTGTTCAGGAATCTCATGTCATCCAGATACATCCAGGGATGCCATTCAAAGACCTGCCCCAAAAAGTGGAGGTCAGAGACAGGGCAATAACAGCCTGGACTGGAGAGTCAGTGTCAAGTGATGGATTCTTGTGCAGGGACCAGACAAGTGAAGACGTGAGAACATCTAGCACCCTGCCATCCTGAAAGGAGGGACTGACAACCCTCACTAGTCTCTCCATGCTAGTTTCTACAAGCCAAGATGGGCATAGGTCCAGTTCACAATTGGTCACCCTCATCCTCCAAAGCATAGTCTGCACATAGTGAGTGATAGCAACATGATTCGTATCAACAGGACAAGACCGGGCTGCCTCAACCTCAGACTGATCCTGCAGCAAAAGTGATGGTCCCCAAGCTGTGCCAGGTACAGGCAATTTTGTCTCCAAAGTAGGCAGTGGCTTCCTGGCAGATGAGCTGGATTAATCAGGTCATTCGCCACTCAGAACAATTCCAGGGATAACAGTTTGCAGATGCAATGGCAGTGGAGAAGAAAAGATTCTTTGCCTTTGCCACTGCCCTGCCATAGCTCTTTAAGAAGGACAGTAATCAGTCAGTTCTGGCATGAGCTGAGGGCCACCTGTGCTCTAGCCATCTACCTTCCTGTTTAAGCTGCTTGTTTCCCAGTGTACTGGAGGGGACTTGTCCCACTGCAACAGTGGGTATGGATGCTTGGCTTCCCCTGCAGCTCTGACCAAGGTCACAGAGTTATTCCACAGATCAGAACAGCCAGCTCTGGAAACCCACTAGCTCCTTGAGTCTCCGGGGGTGGGCTAGCCAAGTCCACCATCCTGACAGGCGCAACAGAGGGCAAAGATCTGCACTTCTAGAAAGTAATGGTCTGACCATGACAGATTTTTGATGACACCCCCAGTAATTGGAGCTCCTGTATCTCAGCAGGTGGAAAATATTAGGCTGAACCTGAGCCTCATGGGTCAGCCCAGTTACTATCCTGGACAGCCCTGTGGTCATCATAGAGGCCATGAAGCCCAGCTCCAGCCCTGAAGAGTCAGCAGAGACACTTCAGTCCCCCAAGACAATAAGACTAGGTGTCCTCAACAGGGCCTCCAACGCCAGCTTGGCCGATCTGCAGGGGAACCTGCTGGGCAGCAGTGCGGGGCTCACCAGCAGGATCCCCACCACCCACAGCCCCTCTGCACCCCAGCCCCACAAAGCAGAGGCTCACGCCGGCTGCTCAGCCGCATCAAGTCGGCCTGGGGGCGGAGGGAAAGATTTCCCCACGGACTGAGGCCCGCCTCCACTCCGCATCCAAGGCAGTCTTAGCCGCAAGCCTGCGCCAAGCCCGGCAGCGCACGCAGGGAGATGCCCGCGGGCAGGCTAAGGGGCGGCGCGAGGACAGGCCGCTCAAGCCGCCCCGCGAGCTGCACGGCGCCCTAGGCCCAACGCCCGGCCTCCAGGCCCAGGCGGGACCCAAGCGCCCGCCACCGGGGTTTGGCCTCGCCGTGCTCCGCCCCCTGAGGGAGCGCGCTGGGGCGGGGCTGTCCCCTGTGACAGGTGTGGGCGGGAGGGGCGGGGCGCGGACACGCGGCGGCACAGGGGATGCGGCTCCAGCGCCGGGGCTGCCACAGCTGCTGGGCTGGCACCGGAGTGGCACGACTACAGGCTGCTTTGCTGCTCTCTTCCGCTCCCCGTGGGGAAAGCGTCAAGATTGGTATTAGAACAGTTTCAACGGTCAGGTAGCAATTTTTTTTCCATTTAAATGTTTGCAGCACTGCATTAACACATGCGTAGCTCCCAGTTACTGTTATTGTTGTGTAAGCCAGTGAAACAATATTATACTTACCTGCCAAATAACTGTGTTTCATGTTTGATCAGAGTTATAACATTTCAGGCTATTTTAATTCAGGTAAGCAAATTCCCCTTTTTTTAATATTGTGAAATAAGTGTCAGACCGCTGCGATACACAATGCATTAAAAATGTACAGCAAATTTACGAAAGATTTTTGAACTCGAAAGCTTGCTTAATAACTATTCTCCAACTATTTGGGTTGGTCTAATAAAAGATACCAAATTCACCCAAGGAACCTTGTCTAGCAAATTTACTGTATTTTTAACTGCTGACTGGGAGTAATTTCTGCTTTTTGATATGGGGCCCAAGAAAAAGTCAGGTGCGCAAACAAAAAAGCTGGGAAAAAACAGAGCAGAAGAAAATAAGAAACTTGTAAGCAATTTAAAACACTGGATTTCAGCATCAGTAGAACAGCAGTCTAGGTCTAACAATGAGATGCCTAGCCAAGCAGAGGATAACAGTGATTGCTCAGATTTGGATGAAAGTTGAAAACATCAAAAATCTTTGTTTAAGTGAAAATGAAGTTGACCCTGAAGGGGCAGTAGCAGAGAGTGACAACCATTTAACGCGTCATCCCAGGCAAAACAGCATGGATTCAGCAAGGGCAAGTCATGCCTGACCAGCCTGATTGCCTTCCATGATGAGGTGACTGGCTCTGTGGATGCGGGAGACCAGTGGATGTGGCGTACCTTGATTTCAGGAAGGCTTTTGATGTCTCCCACAACATGCTTGCAGGCAAACTAAGGAAGCATGGGCTGGATGAATGGACTGTAAGGTGGATAGAAAACAGGCTGGATCATTGGGCTCAGAGGGTGGTAATCAATATGGCTCAATGTCTGTTTGGCAGTTGGTATCAAGTGAAGTGCCTCAGGCATTGGCAACGCGTAGGGGTTGCATGCAGGTGCACACGCACCCCCTGAGATTGGCCATGCCCCGCCTGAGAGGAGTGCCAGCGACACTTCTGGTTTTGCTGCCGGCACTTTCGCCAGTGGTAGCCATCAGCCACTGGGGGACCCCCTCCCCATCCCAGTTGGCAATTGGCTTCTGGTGCCCCCCCCCATTATTAGGAGGCACCAGCTGCCCATGGCCCTAGGGGTTAGTCCTGATGCTGGTTTTGTTCAATATCTTCATTGGTGACCTTGAAGATGGGATGGAGTGCATCCTCAGCAAGTTTGCAGATGACACCAAGCTGGAGGGAGTAGTAGATATGCTGGAGGGTAGGGCTAGGATTCAGAGTGACCTAGACAAATTGGAAGATTAGACCAAAGGAAATCTCATGAGGTTCAACAAGGACAAGTGGAAAGTCCTTGTTCAATCCCATGCACAAGTACAGGCTGGGGATGAACTGGCTGGGCAGCAGCACTGCAGAAAAGGACCTGGGGGTTACAGTGGACAATAGGCTGAATATGAGCTAACAGTGCCCTTGTTGTCAAGAAAGCTAACAGCAGACTCGGCTGCATTAGTAGGAGTGTTGCCAACAGATCAAGGGAAGTGATTATTCCCTCTATTCAGCACCAGTGAGGTCACATCTGGAGTTGTGTGTCCAGTTTTGGTCCCCCCACTACAGAAAGGATGTGGACAAATTGGAGAGAGTCTAGTGGAGGGCAGCAAAAATATTTAGGGGGCTGGGGACTTCTGAGGAGAGGCTGAGGGAACTGGGCGTATTTAGTCTAGAGAAGAGAAGACTGAGAAGGGATTTGATAGCAGCCTTCAAGTACCTGAAGGGTGGTTCCAAAGAGGATGGAGCTAGTATTCTTAGTTGTGGCAGAGCACCTTCGGGCAGCTGGCAGGTGTGAGCTAGGGTAATGAGCGGGTCATATGGCCACAGGAGGGTCCTGGGATAGGAGGAGGGGGCTGAGCAGCCTCCATTTTAAACCCAGGCCCTCAGGACTGAGGCAGCGGTTTGCTGGCTGCAGCTGTAGGCGGAACATTGCCAGGTTGGAGCTGCTGCTCACAACATCTTGGAGGTAAGGGCAGGAGCTATGGGGATGGCAGGAGTTTCCTGGTCCTGGGGAATGACCCAAAACTACACCCTGCTAGAGTAGTATGGTGTGGTGGGTTCACCCGTGGTAGAGTGGTCCCCAGGAAATGCCATGCCAGTTGCCTCCCTAGTGAAAGGCGAGGATGGGGTGCCTTAAAGCCCCGGCCCCCACAACCCGGTGGGTTACCCAGTTGTAGGGACAGGCAAGGGGTCCAGGCAGAGCTGTCCCTTGGTAGAGTGAATCGGGGCAACTACCCTAGGCCCTGCACTTTGGGGGGGCCCTGTGGAGCCTGGCGGAGCACACACAGCCCCTCCCATGGGGCCCACCTGGAGCTGGAGGCTTAGCCCTGTGCCGTGGAAGAAGTGTCTGGCCGCTTGCCCCTTTTCCCACCTGCCGAGTGCCGCCGGCTTCACGTCCACTGAAGAGCAGCTCATCCAGGGCACACGGGATCTGCTGGACCCCGGGAGCCAAATTTCATTGCTGTGGCACTGCCATGCTCTGCTTTTACAGGGGTCTGATGGCCCCGCGCAGTGTTAAAGGGGCCCCACATAGGCTGATTTGCTCCAGGCCCTGCACCCCCTAAGGTCGTCTCTGGGTTCAGGCATTGTTATCAGAGGCCTGGGACCCAAGGAGTGTAAAGCCTGTATTTGGAGGGGCCCTAGAAGGTGGATCTGTTTGAGAGGGGGTGGGCTAGCTGCTCAGAGACCTGACTAGAGGGACCCTTGACTGGTCAGTGCTGGGGCCAGGACCAGAAGGGTCCAAAGGGCCAGAATGCCCACCACAAGGGATGCCCAGAGCCAGGGGCCTGGCTCGGGCCTGTGTAGCCAGAGGTCCCGAAGAGGGGGCCACTGCTGAGAGGCAGAAGGGTTCAGGGAGCTCGACAGCCTAGAATGAAGGCAGAGTAGACCACCTGAGAGGAGGGATCCAGGTCGGTGTCCGAACACCAGATTTTGGGGCTCAGTGTGGGGCTGAGGTCACATAGTGGATACTATCTGCAAGACGTGGGACATGGTATAGGGAAGGTCAGAGCTGTGTATAACACCCTAGGCATCAGGGCATTAAATGGGCAGCCTCCCGCATTCTTACACTACTTATTTGTACAACAAGTCGTAGCAGGTGAGACTGGGTGGACTGCCCCAGAGACAGGTGAGTGGGCCGATGTTGAGACATGGCCCTGAGCCGGCCCCTTCTCACATTAGTGGTGGTAGATGACATAACAAAGAGCAGTGGTCTCAAGTTGCAGCAAGGGAAGTTTAGGTTAGATATTAGGAAGAACTTTCTCACTAGGAGGGTAGTAAAACCCTGGAACAGGTTACTCAGAGAGGTGGTGGAATCTTCATCCTTGGAGGTTTTCAAGGCCTGGCTAAACAAAGCCTTGGCTGGGATGATATACTTGGAGATGGTCCTGCTTTGAGGAGAGGGTTGGACTAGATGGCCTCCTGAGGTCCCTCCCAACTCTACTTTTCTATGATCCTAGAAGATTACAGTTACTGTACAAGGCTGAATGAAAATGAAAACGCTGAAGCTGTTGCTTTAACTGAAACCTAGGCTAACTCTGAAAAAACAGTAACCTGCTTAGACAGAAAAATTGACGATCCATTCAGTTGGTTACCCCTTACTGATAACATCAGATGTATAGTAGATCTTGGCATTGAATGAAAATAGTAGTATGATTTTACTCAAACAGTATCTGGAAATCCCAGGTGAAAGGTGTTTGAGTAAAGATTAATTTTATAAGAAACCGCCTAATGGCAAGTGTGTGGAAAGACATTGACTTTTTTCCAAGTACAGCAAAAAAACCCAAAACCCACATTATCTTCCCCTCCTTGCATACTCTTTCCAGAGAGAATTTCAAATTATCCCAGTTGTGGAGTCTCCTTCATTTAAGATAGGCATTGGCCAGGAATGATATAGGAGCAGCTACACCTGAACTCTGCTATGAGTATCTCGCCTGCTTCTGGGCTTTTCTGATAGTTGTTGTAACAGGGTGCTCCTCCAGAGACAACTGGATACTCCCTTGTGGTGGGTCTGCTCCTGCCTACCTACTCTGGTTCCCTAGTTTGGCCACTTTTCCTCATTATCGCCTGCCACATCTTGGTGTTATTGGAGATGTTTCCTTGAGGCTGCATGGGGTAGCCAATGCTATGCTTCTGCCTGCACCCGCCAGCCTCGGTCTAGGCTAGCATGCACAGCTTACCAGCAGGACTGCTCCTGGTGCAGCTGCCCAAGTGCTGCTTGGCTTCCCTTACCTCCAGTGGCGGTGGCAGCTCCTACTCCTGCTGTGTCATTCTGGGCAGGGATGAAGCTTCAGCTGGCTGGCTCCTGCCCCAGTGTGCAGGGCTCTGGCTGAATTGGGCAGCTGAGTGGGTGGAAGGCAGCCAGGATCTGGAGCTGGAGCCCCATGTGCTGGGACAGGAGATGCCCAACTGAGGCTTTCTTCTTGCCTGGTGCAACACAGCAGGAGCAGGAGGGCCAATGCCGGAGGCGAGGGGAGCTGAGCAGCACCAAAGTGGCTGCAGCTGCAACAGGAGTAGCTCTCTCCGTAAGCTGTGTGCACTGGCCAAGCCTGCTGGCCAGATGCAGGTTCATGGATTTGGCACCCCACCTCTCTCCCTCCTGCCCCCATGTAAGGGTACTCTAAATACAGTAATGGGTTTCTGTGTCTTTTCATAAGATGACAATTTTTCCTTAATGGCACAATAAGCACATTATCAATAGGACAAGCTGACAATTTTTCAGCTATTTTGTTTTTTTTAAACCCAAAATGCAGTTTTTGGTTTACCAAAACATTTTGCAAATTTATGTTTATTTAGCTGAATCCTAATCAGTCAAAAACAGCATTAACTCTTTTTGGAAAAAGAAATTATATGAACTATTCAAAATACTTAATTTAGTGTTTATTTAG